TCCCCTCGCGGGCACTGGGGATGGAGGTGACCCGGCGCAGCGGGGAGAGGGCGGTCGATCGGGGGCGGAGCGCGGTACGTGGGTGCGGGATGCGGGATGCGGAGTGCGCAGGAATCTCCCGAGTCCGGCTCCGCAGGGCAAGGGCGAAGCGTCCCCGGGAGAGTTTCGCTGAGGGATGTTCGGCGCTTACCTGTTGGCAGGTACAGGAGGGAATGGATCATTTGGGTGCCCACGTATGTGTCCGGGTATCTCCATGGAGCAGGGTGTCTGAACACGTCCCGGCGTGAGGCGTGGCCCACACCATCCTCCTGGTGTGACCTGGAAAATAGCTCCTCATTCTGCCTCAGTTTCCGTAGGATGCAGAGGAAGGGAGCAGAGGCAGACTGCTTGAGTGTGGGTCTGCGGCAGCTCAGTTCCTTTTGGGCCTTTTCCTACCATGCTGAGATGGAGTGGGGGGGGGGGGAAGGGTTTCCCCCCTTTCCCTGAGGTGAACAATGAGGACCCAAGATCCAGGCTGCCCGTAGACCCAGGCAGGGCAGGTGGGGGTGGGAGAAGGGCAAATGCAAGTGGGAGGAACACTCCTCAACCCCCACCCCACCCCCCTTCTCTGAGGAGAGGCAGTCACTGGGGGTTGAGGGCTACAGTCTGGGGTCAGGAGGTTGCCATGGGCCAGAGGGAGTTAGAGAGATGCTGTGGTATATCTGCCCCCCTCTGAGACCCCCAAGGACACAGGAGCATCTTTTGGAGGGGAGAACTCCAGATCTGGGCATGCAGAAGCTAGAAAGAGGCAACAGAGACCAGCAGAGATGGAGAGAGAGGCAGAAAAGGGGCGCGTTGACAACCCATACGAGATCATCTTCCCCCCAGCACCTGCTCCAAGCCAGCTTCTGTGTGCTCCCCCAGAGTCAGAATCCCCTAACTCAGCCTTCTTTCTAGTCCTGCCCACGCGCTCTGAGCATCCAGTATCCTATAGGCCTGCCCCATGGCCAGCCACCCTCAGACTGCTTGCTGCCCCTCACCCACCCAGACCTGGGTGGTCCAGTTTAAGGGCACGGAGGGAGAAAAGGACAATGGATAGAGGTGCCAGCAGGCGGCATACTCACGAGACTTCAAAAAATAACCCAGTGAGTCTGGACCTCGATCTGAGTCATCCACTGGGGACACAGCTCTGTTGGCACCTGCTGCTATTTTCTCAGGAAAACTTAAGAAGCCAAAAGACAGGGAGAAGCACCAGCCGGCAATAGCTCTAAAAATAGGCTGCATCTCAGGATGTTCCCCAGGGAGAAGCCTCTCGGCTACAGATGGAGCCTCTGGGAGGCAGGGGGTGGGTGCCTGTGGGTGTGCACGCAGGTGTGTGTGTGTGTGTGTGTGTGTGTGTACCAGCATGTGTTTTGCTGTAGTCCCTTAGTGCAGGTCTGGGTTTGCAACAGGCAGTCTCTGGGTAAGGGTGCATATGTGTGTGTCAGGTATAGTCAGCAGGGTATGTGTGTGTTTGTACACATGTGTGTTGCTGGGCCTTGCTGCTCAGGGCCCAGTGAGCTCCGGACACTATGCACATGTGTGCATATGTGAAAATCTCTGTGGATCGGTAGGCACACGCCTGGGGAGGACAGCTGGGGGCAGTTCATGCATGTGCTGTGTTTATGCCAGTGCCCAAGTGCATGTGTGCACATACCTGAGTGGCCTTCAGTCCTCTCATCTGTGAAATGAGGACCACCTTGGTTTCTGCTTCACAAAGTGGCTGTAAGGAACAAATACATGTCACACAGCCAAAGCCAGGATGATGGGAGCTTTTATTAGTATTATCACAAACAGCAACCCGAACATACCCAAGGTTCAGGAAAAGGCCAGATGCCTGGTAGGGTCAGGTCAGGAGCTTCAGATGCCTGGCGGAGGAGGGGTCCCTCCGCCCATGTACTGGATGTTGGGAGGACTCACTGCCCAGAACCACCCCTAAGCCTATGGCTGTATTGTGCTCTCTTCCACGCATTACCTCTCTGGGCCTCCTATCAGCTCTGGGTGGTGAGTTTTCATGAGGTCATTTCGAAGACAAGGAAATGGAGGGTGAATGGCAGAGCTGGGATTGGAGCCCCAGGCCACACAGCTCCAAAGCAGGGGCCAAGGTCTGAAAGGATACCAGGGAGACACCTGGGCTGGCCTGAGTCCTTACCCTCTCCCAACCTGCAGGCCCCTCACAGTGGTACAAGCTGTATCCCATTGCCCAGGGAGACCGCCAATCACCAATCAATATCATATCCAGACAGGCTGTGTATTCGCCCAGCCTGAAGCCACTGCAGCTTTCCTATGAGGCCTGCACATCCCTCAGCCTTGCCAACAATGGCCACTCTGTCCAGGTGGACTTCAATGACAGCGACGATCGATCTGGTAAGTGGCCCCTCACAGACTCTGGCACCGCTCCCCCCGGGGAACGAACCCTGTTTGGGGCAGGCACAGGAGGGGCAGCATGCGGTGGTGGGGGGAGAAGGCTCCACCTCTCGCCAGCTGTGAAGCCGTGGCCTGAGCCTCAGTCTCCTTAGGCATAAAATGAGAGTAATAAGACCTTATTTTGCTCCCTAGGGTCATAGAGAGGAAAAATGAAAAACTGAAGCGATGTTTGTAGTGCTGGCACACAGCAGATGCTCAGAAGCTCAAGAAATGCTACTTCCCTTCCTTCTCTTCTATTTAGTGCTTTAGGTCAGGTTTGTTTTCACTTCACTCCCTGCCCCATCACTGTAGGGCTATGTGGCCTAAGGCTAAACCCTCCTCTCTGTGAGCTCTGGCCAAGCCCAGCAGAGAGAAAGGAACGAAAATGTTCTGTGCCAGGACCCTTGCTAAGGTCACAGGCAGCTTTTATTCCTCTCAAGAATCTACCTCTAAGATGGGCAAGTAGATGCCCTGGCCTGGTGGCTCGGTGGGAGCATCGTCCTGTACACCAAAGGCTGTGTGTGGGCTTGATTCCCAGTCAGAGCACATACCCAGGTTGTGGGTTTGATCCCCAGTGGAGACGGGCAGGTACAACAGACAGCTGATCAATGTTTCTCTCTCACATCATCTCACTCTCCCCCCTCCCTCCTTCCTTCTTCTCTTTCTCTAAAAATCAATAAAAATATATCTTCGAATGAGGATTTAAAAAAAAAAAAAAAGACAGGCAAGTAGAGACTCAGTGAGCTGGGGAGGGCGCAAACCAGCCAGTCCAACTCCAAAGGTCTTCTTTCCAGCCCACATTCAACCTCAAGATCTTGGGCCAGAGTGAGGCCAGCAGGAATTCGTGGCACTCTTTCCAAGGTCTCTTTGCCCTGGGATTAAAGTCCAGGCTCTTTTATGATAAATTCCTAGGCAGAGGGCCTCAGAAGTGCTCCTCCGTGAAGGAGTTGTGTCCTTATGATCAGACTTATGAGGGGTGGAGTGGGGCAAGGAGGAAACTTGCTGGAGTTTCTTGTGTAAGAAAGCG